CTAATATTATGAAGTTTATTTTAAATAATGATAAGAGGTTACTAGTCATTAAGGCTGTAAGTACTTAACTTAGTAAGTACTCGTAATATACCTATATAATAAATGATTTTAGATATTAATTAAATTTTTTTGTTTTTTTTAAATTCTATGAAAAGAAGTTTCACTTTGTTGATAACCTTGGACAAAAATTATTAACAACGTGTCACATTATAAGTTTTTAATAATTTTCTATTTGAAGGTTTGAATACCAATTACAACAAATTTTCATACTTATATATAGAATATCACTTGTTTATATATCACAATTTTTATATTTTAACACCTACGAATAAACTAAGATGATACAATTTTAATAAATTTACATCTGGACACAAGAATTAATAAGAGTTAAAGCCCAAACAATGTAAGAAATAGTACAACAATAACAAATTGACAAAATTGGTATAATACGCAATATAAAGAAATTTGTTGTGTTCTGGACTTTTTTCCTTACCAGATTGTTCATATAAAAAAAGATCCAACAATTAAATGAAATTCACTTGCACGTACAAATGTTTTGTATAATTTAAATTAAATTCAGTTCACGTATACAACGGTCCAAAATAATTAGCGCACTGTGATACAAAGTTATTTTAACAACAACACTTTTTGTTTTTCAAAGTCTCAAATGTCCATGACATACATATGAGGGATGTTTTACCATATTTGCGCAAATTTCGTTGCCAAAAATAAAAGACAAGAAAACTCGCACAAATATCAAATTTATTACATATATTAATAATATAGTTAGAATCTCAAAAAAATTCTTTCTTCTTTTCACAATTACAATCTCTAAAAATTATTGAATCAAAGAAATTAATCCCCCTAATACTTCCATTCGATTTTTAACTTTAGACAATATAAATATTGTATGTTTATAAATTGGACATTTCAATTTAATGTTTAAAGAGCAGTTACATATTTAAGTTAGAATTACCAAAGGTAATAATATATGTTTATGTTGGAATTACCTAAAAGAATGACTGGAGTAAATGTTAGTTCTTTTTTGAATTTGATAGTTTGTTTTATCTTTTATACTTGATAAGTTGTTTTCATTTTGTTATTACCAATTTGAAGGATTTCAAGTATTATTTCCTTATTAGCAATAATCATTTATAAGTCTGGTATTGTGTTAGTAAGTTAAGTTTTGTTAATTTTTTTAGAAATGTTACTCATTCATAAATGCCTATATGAGAAGTATGTAATTTCAAATTGTGCTAGTATTTTGAATGTTGTTAATATTTCGAAAATGTAACTAACTTATGACCGCATCCATGGTAACTATGTAATGCAAAGATTGAAAGTCATTTATTTAATTAAAAATAAATAAAAAAAATAAGAAAAAAGATGGAGAGTTGGGAGCTCTCTAAATAGGTCTACACTAAAATTGTAAATAATTGGTGTTAATAGTTAATTAATATAGAGTCGTGGGAATTGTAATTAAATTTTGTGTTATTAGTCTAAAATTTTGCAAATGTTATTTGGATAAGTTTATATAAATTTGAAACTGTGAGTTAGGGTCAAGTAGACATGTGGAGGAATTGGAAATCGTGAAAATTTAATTTGCATACCGGTGACAAACAAAAGAATTTGAAATGGTTTGATTGTACCAAATTGTGGAGCCAATGTGTGTGAATTAAAATAAATGTAAAATTCTAGGAAAAAGGGATTGGGATTTTGGAGATATGTGAAGGTTTCTGATGAAAAACCCTCAATCTATTACATATATATAAATATAAGACAATAAGTAAAATTCTCAATTTGTACAATAGGATTGAAGGAAAAATGTATCGTTTTTACATTTTTACAACAGTCATGTATTGATATTTATCAGTTTGTCAAACTATTTATTTAAATTTATAATATCCTAATATACAAAAAAATTTACAAATGACAATACATGCTATTTGTCATTTGAAGCTAAGGAAAACATTAAAGTAAAAAAATTTACTTGGAGAGAATTATTGATAAGTTAGTTAAACCAAGCCTTTTCTGCCTAAAAGAAACGTTAAAATAAAGACAAGTTTTTGATCAGGTAATTTAACAAAAATATTTCCTACCTAAAATATAGGGATTTAAACATGTAAATTAAACAAACTATTATCATTAGATGACATTAATTGAAATTAATTAAAGGATAAAATAATTCAAAATTCTTGAGAAATGACACATATTGAAGTATATATATGCTATTTGTCATTTGCAACAAAAGGAAAAGTTGAAAGTAGTAAATATAGTAAATGTTATGTAGAAAAGGCTATTGATAAGTTAGTTTAACTAGGATTTTTATGTGTAAAGGAAATGTTAAAATAAAATATTTACTTAAAGAGGCTATTTGATAAGTTAGTTTAACAAAATATTTTTCTAACTAAAATATAGTGATTTAAACATTTGAACTAAACAAACTAATAACTATTAAATTACATTAATTGAATTGATGAAAGAGTAAAATAATTCAAGAATACATCATACTATTAGAAATCTTTTAGAAAATATGGACTAATAAATTTCTAGTATAATAGATTTCCTCGTATTTGTCCCATTATAATCTACGCACTGTTTTCAACTTTTTATTCTTCTTATGCTTTGGTCCAAACTGTTTCCTCCTACCCATTCATTCATGCGCGTCCAACTTCCACTACCACTACTCTCCGCAGGTGGCCATTATTAATGTTTCTCACACGTGTCTCGCCCATATTGTCCTCCTACGGTAGGAACGGTCAATGCGTTCCTACCATAAAGGTATCCGTTCCACTTCCACTCTTGGTCATGGGGAGTCTCTAGCTGCAGCTCTTGTGGCTATTGGCCGGCACCGGACGGGGACGGTTGATTTGATTAACCATCATTGAACATAGTAATATTTTTGAATATTTTATAATTTTATGTAAATTTTTTTGTACATTCTTATAATATAAGTAGGGATAGCAACGGGATCGGGTGCCCGCGGGATGCTAATGGGGAGGGGGATGGGGCGCTGGCGGGGGGAATTTTTCCCCCCCACCTAGAAACGGGGCGGGGGCGGGGGAGTGTACCCCTGCCCCATCCCCCGCCCCGCCACCTGCTTTAAAAAAATAAATATATAAAATATATATAGGTATATAATTATATATATAATATATAATTTAATTATTTATAAACTTATGATAATGATATTATTAGTTATATGTATTATATGATGTCTATTAGTATATATAATATAATTGATATTATTAATTATACTAATAATTATATATGTGTACTAATACAAATTATTAATTGGTTATACTAAATTTACTAATACATTTATACTAAATCCCTAATTACACTTAATACAATAACATTTTTTCTTAAAAAAAGCACAAACACAATAATGAATTAGTGATTGCATTTGTATCAAAAGTGAAAATTTGACTATTTTAGTTATATTTATTTCATCATATTGGATTGTATTCAAATAATTTTTGTTTGATTGTTTTTATAAGTTTCAATTATAAAATTACAATGAATAATAATTTGATGATGTGTTGATATTTTAGTACTTGATTATTTGCTAAAATTTAACCATAATAAAATTATATAACAAATTTTTATTAACCCCGCGGGCACCTGCCGGGGAAGCGGGGCGGGGCGGGGCGGGGCGAGGATGGGGCTGGGGGAGCGGGGGATGGGGCGGGGGGTGGGGGGAGTTTGTAGGCAGCGGGGCGGGGAATGGGAGAGGGGTACCCCGCCCCAACCCCGCCCCGTTGCCATCCCTAAATATAAGTGTGATATTCTATTACTGTTCATGTGAGTCCCATGTATAATAATTGCGTCTCTGTTGTTAAATTTTATAAGCAATTCACGTAGAATCACACCTTATTCAAAAAAATTATATTGTTCCGAACGGTTGTTACTGACAACTGTCCAAACCCCATATCTTATTCATTATCGAGATTTGAATTTGGTTTTAACTCCAATTAATGAATTAATTGAGGCATGTTTCTATTCGACCCGGACAAGGCAATATGATTGATGATGATGGTAAGTTTGAAGTTGAAGGCTGTGCTGAAGTTTGCCGGGTTAACGAATAATGACTGTGATGATCATCTGGACAAATATTAAGGTGCTTTGAACTGGGTCAAACTTTTTACCCATTTGAGGAATGCTCTTAATTACTATTTAGCAAAACTTGAATCATAGGTCTGAACTTGACCCAGGGCTGAGAAGATGGATCATGAACTATGTCCAGAGGAGAATGAGATTTAGGAATTACAGTATATATCACTGTACTTAATATATGGTTTCTAGAGATGCAATACTTAAAAGGTAAGAAGCCAATTAATTGGTGAGATTTAGGAAGTAAAATATTTGCTTGGGAAGGCTAATGATAGAAGGATTTTAAAATTCATTACTTTCTGGTTTTTTGAGAAAATCTTGGAATGCAATGCTTAAAAGGTAAGAAGCCAATTGGTGAGATTTTTGAAGTAAAATATATGCTATCATCAAAAAAAAAAATAGTAAAATATATGCTTGGGAAGGGTAATGATAGAAGGATTTTAAAATTCATTACTTTGTGGATTTTTGAGAAATCTTGAGATTTGCAAATGATTTACCATGTAGGGTTAATTATATCTTACTCTTAATTCTGTTCTTTGTATTGAGAGTAGATGCTTTCGTAGGAGTAGACTTACCATTTTTTAGCCAAATTATTCTCTGCAATTCCCTTCCAATTCCAACCTTTTGTATGTATAAGCCTTTAGAAATTAGACCTATACATACATGTTATAAACAAGTAGCTTCTTCCCTTGTTGAGCAATCAAGGAAGGACACAGACCAACATTCACCATTTCAAAGGCTCTTGCAAACTTCTCAGGCACAAACCTGAGCCAAGAATACAATACTTTCTCCAGTCTACACATCTGAGCGCTGCCTAATCATTCATATCCTTAGTTAAAAACTTCATAGGCCTAAATAAATCATTCGAAAAACAAAAACATTGACAAATGGCACAACCCCACATTTTGATTGTGAGTTATCCAGCCCAAGGCCACATTAATCCGTCCCTTCAATTAGCCAACAAACTCATCAAAATTGGAGTAGAAGTTACCTTCGCCACCAGTCATTTTGCCCCGCCGGTTGTCCCCAAAGCCTCATGCAAAGTATCTAACGACTTCCATTTTGCAGCCATTTCAGATGGTTATCCTGATGGATTCAAACCTCAAGGTCTCGATGTTGATCATGTCAATGCACTCAAAAAATACGGCCCAGAAACCCTTCGAAATGTAATCCAAGCTAGCGCTGAAACAGGCCGTCCTGTTACCTGCATTGTCCACACTTTAATCCTCACATGGGCTGCAGAGGTGGCGCGTGAATATCACATTCCATGGACTCTCCTTTGGATTCAACCAGCCACAGTTCTGGGAATAACTTACTATTACTTCAATGGATATGAAGATGAGATCAGGAATTGTTATGAGCCCTCCTGGTCCATTCAAATGCCGGGAGTACCATTGCTCACAACACTAGATCTTCCTTCTTTTATGCTTCCCTCAAGCTCAAGTACACAAAATGTTGCTCTTTTAATGGTTAAGGAGCAAATGAAGATGATAGATGAAGAAGAAAATCCGTATGTGCTGGTGAATACTTTTGATGCACTTGAGCCTCGTGCTCTCAAAGCGATTGACAAGTATAACCTGATTGGAATTGGACCGTTGATTGACTTTCCTTTTTCAGAAGGAAGTGGTGATGTTATGCAGGAGGAGGAATATTATATGGGGTGGTTGGAATCACAGCCTAGATCATCAGTTGTCTATGTAGCATTTGGCAGTCTTTTGATGCCATCGAAACATCAGATGGAGGAGATTGCAAGAGGGTTATTGGAGTGTAAAAGGCCGTTTTTGTGGGTGATAAGAGCAAGGGATGATGGAGAAGAAGAGAAGCTGAGTTGCATTAAGGAATTAGAACAAAAGGGGTTGATAGTTCCATGGAGTTCTCAAATTGAAGTTTTAAAACATCCCTCATTAGGATGTTTTGTTACGCATTGTGGATGGAACTCAACTCTGGAGACTATCACTTTGGGAGTGCCAGTGGTGGCATTTCCTCTGTGGGCTGATCAAGGGACAAATGCCAAACTAATTCAAGATGTGTGGAGGATTGGAGTGAGGGTGGTCCCAAATGAAGATGGCCTTGTTGAGAGTGATGAGATCAAAAGGTGCATAGAATTGGTCATGGATGGTGGAGAAAATGGGCTAGAATTTGCTGGGAATGCCAAGAAGTGGAAAGGTTTGGCTGGGGAAGCAATGGTGGAAGGTGGATTATCAGACACAAATCTAAAAGCATTTGCTTTTAAAGATGTCTGAAAAGATTGTTAGGTTGATTTAATCTAGTATTGTAGTTTCCCTTATGGGGATCCCTTGGGTTTTTCAGTTTTCTATAGTTGTTGATCTAGTTTATGCTTCTTGTTTTTCTTCATCTTTTTTTATTCTTTACTAGTGTTTTGGCCTTTTAGACATTGTGTGCTTGTTGTGAATCTTTAGGGTCTAATTGGTTACATGCGAATTGCTTATGCAAATAAAAAAGAAATGCAGTCCTGCAATTTCCTATCAAATGATAATACTCTGATAGTTTAAATGATTAAATCTGTTGTATGCACTTAAAGCTGCTCATTATTGTTATTTTAAGATATGGCTTCCCATATAATCCAGGAAATAGAGAGTCTTGGAAGTTGAGTAATTGACACAAAAAAAAAAAAAAAAAAAACAGTGTAAGGATGGTTACATTGGCACCAATTAAAGTTTAGAAGAGAGTGACTCTAAATTACTGAAAGCTTTGTAATGACTTTATGCTACTTTCCCATATGTTCATTTTTTGTTTTCAGAACAGAAGCGAGAATGGAAGAAATGAGAAGGAAAACGGAGAATCCAATCCTTAATTTCAAACAATGGATTAAGACTCTTCATAACTAGGTTATTTAATTTTGAGTAAAATATATTTTACCTTTCTGTAGTTTGGCGCTTTATCATATAATTGTCCTATGGTTTCAAAGCTTATATATAATCCCTTCATGGTTGAGTTAAAGCGTTACAATTAGTTTTTTCGTTAAAACTAATGGTTAATAGTAAAAAGTCAAAATGAATATAATAAATTGACAAATTCACCCTTTCACTACTTTTTTTTTTTCCTTCTCTCTCTCTCTCTCTCTAGGAAGAGAAGAGCTTATTTTGAAAATCTATATTTTGGCCAACAAAATCTTAATTTTCTCCAAATATAAAAGAGATTGAAGGGAAATAAAAAATAAATAAATAAGAAACAAAAAAGATGGAAGCGAAATATAAACCAAATAAATGAAAAAACACTATCAAATCTTTTTTCACCAAAAATATTATTATAGTTTTTAAACCAAATCTTTAATGGTATTTTCTATTTTGTATTTATATGTTTTTTATTTCAGTTTCTTCCTTTTTATGTTTGGAGGAAAAAAAGAAGTTACTAAAGGGTAAATTTATCAATTTATTAGTTTGATTTTGACTTTTTAATATTGACTGTTAGTTTTAATGAAAAAACTAATGGTGATACATTAATTCAATTATGAGAGAGTTACATATAACCTTTTAAACCATATGAGGTTATATTGTAAAACATCAAACTACGGCAGAATGAAAGGAAATTTAAAGAAAAATCAAGGAAAACCAAGAATGAGACCCTTAATTTATTGCAATGAAACAACCAGGTCTCCTGATTACTAGGTTGTATTGATTTTCTATAGGACAGTTGGGTTTTATACATGTAACTTAGTACGAAACAGACAAACAGTATACATGCAGCCACTATAAAGAGTCAGACAAATTATTTGTTTATCATTTACAAGAAGTTAAATAAAATAATCCTTTTAACACCGAGGTTTCTCAACATCAAGTGTAAGCAGGTGGAGGTAATTAAAGTTACGTATGTTAAAAAGCATTTTTTCTAAAAAAATCAAATAATTAAAGAACAATATAAATTTATATTCTAATTTTTTATTTTTTATTTTTTTTATAAGTAGGAGGTTTTGAACTCAAGACATTTTACTTACAATCTCTTCCACCTTATCACCCAACCCAACCTTCTCCTAAAAAATCTATATGCTAGTTATTATGCTTAACACTCAATATATTTGTGAATTTACTCAAACTTTATCTATTAGTGTTTGTCTCACCGAGTGTGGATTAGTAGTACTCTTAATGAGTCATAAGATGTTATTTCAATTGTATTATTCCCAATTCCACCATAGTGGATTACATATAATCCCATTAGATAAAACAGCAACAAAGTGATGAAGATTTTTCTTTTTTTTTTTTTTTTTGCAGAATTTCTCACAATACAAAACACAATATTCACATGTGTTGCACCTGTTGCATTGCTTTGAAGCTTGATTTGGTTCTAATAAGCTCTTGAGATTTTGAACTTAATCTTCTGAAAATTCAATTAGTTAATGAAGCACCAAAATTAGTGTTTTGGTACCTATTTTTGTTTCAAAGTACCAATGAATGAAATAAAGCAAGTCGAATCATTGGTGTTATATTCTTTTCTTACCAATTAATTTACCACCAACCATGATTTCCAATACAGTTTCAAATGTTTATGAGGCAGAAAATAGAACTGAAATCGCAAGGGCACAAGAAAAGTTGCACACACGGACATTTGCAAATAACACATAGAAGACAATCAATTAGCCAGCAGCCCGGTGCCCATCACCATCCATAACTATTAGTCCAGACAACATAAGAGAAAGAAAGAAAATGATATCAACAAGGTGAAACTCATAATAGATTGTTTCAATATACCAATCATATACGTTGGTGGATTTTTCTTTCTACGTTATCATAGGCAACTGCAATGTACTATAGTAACAGAGGATATATTGATCATTACTCGATCTTATCATAGTCTAGTAGAAACATAAGTTTAAATTTTGTAATCTAAGCAGAGGTAACAAATTGAAACTATTTGAAATTTGACTATTTGGATATTGACTAGATTGAATTTAATAGATAATTTTGACAAATAAAAACGAGAACTTAATGCATATAGACAGCCTACTGAATTCCGGTGCTTCTTTCTCTAGTGTTCAAAAAAAAAAAATTGTTGTCTAAATTACCTGTTGATTATAGTTTGCTGCCCACCAAGAATCTCGCACATGCATTCTATAAAAATCATTCTTTGTAAAGCTTTACAATTAGAGCAAACTATATGAAGTTATATTCTATTTGTTATATTGGCAAATTACATTTTACCCCTCTGTGATTTAGCATTTTTTTACATAACCCCCATATGATTTCAAAATCTATACATAACCCCCTCATGGTTTGGATTAAAGTGTCAAAGTGACGGAAATAATCACTCGTAAAGGAACTTCTAAAAATGTAAATACATGATACATTAACCCCGTATGATTTTTATATTTTACTATATAACCCCCTTATGGTTTAATACTTTACCATATAACCCCCTTATAGTTTTTAAAATATACACATAATCCCCCTTGGTTAATAAATAATTTTTAACTTTACATGAGGGTATTTTTGACATTTTAGATGATTCCGTTACGAATGGTCATTCCCGTTACTTTGACACTTTAATCCAAACTATAAGGGGGTTATGTATAGCTTTTGAAATCATAGGAGGGTTTTGTAAAAAAATGTTAAACCACAGGGGGGTAAAGTGGAATTTGCCCTTGTTATATTTAAGCTTTTAAATTTTTGGGCAAATTCCACTTTACCCCCCTGTGGTTTACCCTTTTTTTACATAACCCCCCTATGGTTTCAAAAGCTATACATAACCCCCTTATGGTTTGGATTAAAGTGTCAAAGTAACGGAAATAGTCCCTCGTAACGGAACTTCTAAAAATGTCGAAATTACCCTTATAAATACATGACACATTAACCCCCTATAATTTTTATATTTTACCATATAACCCCCTTATGGTTTAATACTTTACCATATAACCCCCTTATGATTTTCAAAATATACACATAACCCCCCTTGGTTAATACATAAATTTCAACCTTTCATAAGGGTATTTTTGACATTTTAGGTGACGCCGTTACGAGTGACTATTTCCGTTACTTTGACACTTTAATCCAAACCATAAGGGGGTTATGTATAGCTTTTGAAACCATAGGGGGGTTATGTGAAAAAACGCTAAATCACAGGGGGGTAAAATGGAATTTGCCCTAAATTTTTTTTTTGTTACTTAGGGTATCTCAACTTTTTGACCAAACTAATCCCCTAAAATTGTGTAGAGTCTTGCCCGAAGAATACACAGCGAGATAGCATACGGGAGTCGATTACAAGACTTGTTGGAAACTAACAATTTATAGAACTAGTCGGATTACTCGCGGGAGAATATTTAAGCTTTTAATAGATAAACAATTTTTTTTGTCTGCAGAACTTTTCAGAATACTAGATACAGCACTCACGTGCACTACATGTGTACTATTGCTTGTTAGCTTGATGCCTTTACACCAAAAACCAAGTATGAGGAACCCAGAAGGAATATCTACTGTGATACAATCTTTAGTCCGCTACTAAGTTTTGAAATGATGAAAATCAGTAAATGCTCTTCTCCAAAAGTACCCTGGACCTTAATTTGTGATTTAGTTCTCACATAAATGTCACTGCTGGACTAGGTAATAGATATCAAATAAATAAACAAAAAAAACTTCATTTTTTGAGCACCCTTCAATCTTCATGCACATACAAGACCAAAAGATCAATACTGAAAAAGACAGTGAAACCTGCTGCATACATATAAAATCTAACGATGAAATTTCTGCCTGTTATCATCATTTAGGAGCAAGTTGAAATTCTTGGAGCTGATCCATCTTGCTGTTTCTTGCTTGTTGTTTATGGTGAATAAGGCAATCTAGCCCACACCCACTTTCTAGCCCACACCCATGCAAATCTTCATGACTCCTAAGCTTTTTTCAATGTTTTTCATTTTCCTCAAATATAAACCACCATCCATGCGCAAGCCTTCACCAACAAAGTACTTTCGGAAGCTGGAAAGAGATGAGAATCACATAGCTAGGCTTTATTGGGTGTGTGAAAGTGGTCAGGGGTAATATGAGAATGTTTTTTACTGATATCAGTAGTACAAGCGCGTTTTGCCGACGAATCGTCACACGATGGGTGCTTTCCGTCTATTTGACAGTTCAACTCAAATTACAGGGGGTTTATGTATAGATTTTTGAATCATGGGGGTTATGCCTATTGCTCACTTTCTCTCACTGTTTATCAATCTCAGCCAATATAAAAGGTCTGGTTTCCTGTGTCACAACTAACTAGTTATGCATTGACATAGCCAAATGTTTACATTAGC